GGCCACTGCACTCCAGTCTGGGTGACAGAGTGAGACTCCAACTCAAAAAAAAGAAAATTATACATCACATTTTTTAATTTTCAAGTTATTTGTTGCTACTGTATAGGATATAATTGATTCTTATATACTGATTTTTTTATTCAGTGGCCTTGATAAACTTTCTTTTGTTTTTTGTTTTGTTTTTTGAGTGGGAGTCTGCGTCACCCAGGCTGGGGCAAAGTGGCACACTCACAGCCACCGCAGCCTTGACCTGCTGAGCTTAAGAGAAACTCTTTTATTAATTCTTAGTCATTCTAATAATTCCTGGATTATTGGGAAAAGTTTCAGCCATTATTTAAAAAAAAATATGTTCTGCCCCTGGCCCCAGAGTCTTTTTACATATATCTTGTTCCGGTTGCTTTTGCTATTGTCACTGGTTTCTGAGACTCTGTTCCTCAGTTGGGGACAGGGTACCTTCCCTTTGTCTCCATGGCTGTCACATCTTGTGGGAGCAGAGCTTCTCTGTGCTGGGATTGGCTCCTTTTCCCTAAACTAGGAGGTGTGTGTGTGTGTGTGTGTGTGTGTGTGTGTGTGTGTGTTGTGATGGAGTCCACTCCCCTCTCCAGAGGCAATGACTCAGCGGGAAAGCCAGGTCTGCTCTTCACTCTGGCTCCAGTGCCGCAGCTGTCATGTCCGCGTGTACCTGCCCCCTCTCCCTCGCTTCTCCTCCTGGTTGTCCCAGCCGGGGCTCCTCCTGAGGCCCTTGTGATCTCTGCTTGGCCGCCTTGAGGACAGCTGGCTAGCCTCCCCGCAGTACGGGCTCCCCCTCCCCATCTGGCCACTTCTGCCCCCACCTCCCAACACTGACAGCAGCTTGGTGGGTGAGGGGGCACGGCAACAGGCGCAACCTCCTTCGCCCTCCCCTGGTGAGGCTGTGCCGGGCCGTTGTCATCCACAGATGCAACTGAGGGATGGGATGAGTGGCCAGATGCTGGCCACACTCGCGCACGCGCAGTTCTGACAGACATGCACACCACGTGGGCTAAAGTGGGCAGGGACTCTCACTGAAGAGCCCTGGGTGGAGGCAGCAGTGCACAACCAACGGCCAGACGCAATCTGTGCACAGCCAGTCGGGCGTGTTACAGAACGGAGGGTGCATCTGCAGGATGGATACTGTGTAGCCATTGGAAAGGAGCGGAAGCCAGATGTGGTGCTGCCTGTGGTCCCAGCTACTCAGGAGGCTGAGGCGGGAGGATGGCTCCAGCCCAAGGAAGTGGAGGCTGCAGTGAGCTATGATCATGCCACTCTACTCCAGCCTGGGTGACAGAGCAAGACCCTGTCCATAAAAAAAAAAAAACGAAAAAAGGAGGAGGAGCTCTATGTGTGCATGAATACAAAGCAGGTGCTGGGGTGCAACAGTCGGCAGAAGAACGGAGTGTAGAACAGTGTACCGGTGTGGCCGTGTGTGTGCATGCGTGTGTCTGTGTGTGTGTGTGTGTGTGTGTGTGTGTGTACAGGCTATGGCCCCATAGAGGCGCTCACCTGTAGAGTCAGGAAGGGGACACAAGAAATCAGTGGCAGCCGGGCTTGATGGCTCAGCCTGTAAACCCAGCACTTTGGGAGGCCGAGGTGAGTGGATTGCCTGAGCCTGGGGGTTCGAGACCCACCCGGGCAACTTGGCGAGACCTCGTCTCTACAATAAATCAAAAACTAGCTGGGCGTGGTAGCGTGCACCTGTAGTTCCGGCTCCTAGGAAGGCTGAGGCAGAAGGATTGCCTGAGCTCAGCAGGTCAAGGCTGCGGTGGCCGGGAGCGTGCCACTGCGCTCCAATCTGGGCGACAGAGTGAGACTACGCCTCAAACAAAAAAAAAAAAAAAAGAAAGAAATCAGTGGCTTTGGTCAACCCTGAGGAAGGAGCAAGAGCCTGGGAGCTAGGGTGGGGGTGTGAGGGGAGTCACGGTGCTCATGATACCTTTGTAGGCTCCAACTCAGCTGGTGCCTTCTGGAAGCGAGAAACCATTTACAACGATCATGCAACATGCCAAA